ATCATATATGTCCGTGCCTGCACACATAAAGGAGTTAAAATAAATTTGAGCATCTGTGATATATACATGTAATTAGGTGTTGTTTTAATGATATATTTCATTTATATCATTACTAATATTAAGATAATGATTATGATGATATTTTGATCTGTGCATGAAATCATAGGTTTACCTTGTACGTTTCAGTGTTACGTAAGATTGTTTAATTATAGAGTAGTAAAGATAGTCAATACTTAAACACTAGAATCTATAGTTTAACTTGTATTCATATCATACTATTTATTGATCATTTTAACGTAAAACACAAATAATTTGATAGTTGCAATCACTGCGTGAAATTACTTTTCTACCTAGTAGACATTAACTAAAAAACCATTAATAACCAAGAAATCGTTTAGATAATTATTTCATCCAACACACACCTGTAACCTTACACTTGATCAAACTCAAACCTTGCATATCTTGTGGGTGAATATGTTGCTCATAGATCACTGATCGAGTCAAGATTAATCTGTTCATGCGAAAATCTATTTTTGTTCTCAAATAACTATTTCAACGATAAATTATAATCACCATCTAACTGATCATAATGACATTATAGTTTTTCATCTCAAAAAATGTGCAAAATACTAAGTACACTCATTATTCAGTCCTACAATAAAACAATAATGCTTTACAGATCTTATAGGTATTATTGTAAATAACATTGCAAAGCTTAAAGCTGTTGTCTGATTGAAAACATTTAAATATGTGCGTACACAAATACATGTGATGACACAGTGGGACATAACACGAAAGATGTTTTTTGTACTTTGATTCCACTGTTAGCTTTTAGTGGATAAATGATAAAGTTGTTTCTACGTTATACCCATAGTCGTTTAGTTGTTTACCAGTTCTTGTTGATTTTCATTGGCTAAGAAATGCATATTTATCCAATGAAAAGCAATTTTTAACTACGTGACTTTCATATAATGACAATTTTCATATTTTATTTCCGTATACTGTAGATCATTAGTTTGCTGGATATAATATTTGGTTTTCAACCAGTAGGTTTTATTTGCGAATTCCGCGCTGTTTGTTTTGGTTTGGGCAGCCAGTTAGTATCACTAACCTTCATATAAATAGTTAATAAATTAACTAGTTAGTCAGTGAGTTAGTTGAAGGTCACTTTTCATTCCAATTTATGTTTCAGTACGATGATACATAATTTGGTCGATAATATATCATTCGGTTGATAATTAAGATAATGAGTGCGGATAATTTTAGGATAAAGTGAAATGGACATTCGAATTGTTGTCTTTTTTCGACCTACATTTACTGCCTTTGTTCACTATTATTTTAAGTAATTTGATTTAATTATTTTCATATATTACAATAGTTTATGGAGATAGGTTTCTGTACATTTATCTAAAGCTTAATGACTCAGCCATTACAATCAATATTCAGAAGAAAATTAGTATTTTTCGTTGAGAGATATATAAGTTACCATTCACGCTAATGCTTTATGATTTCTCTAGATCTCTTGTTGGATCATAACAAGATAAATCAACAGATGAGTACATCCAGGATGGAAGTAGATAGTTGCACTTTTCTATAAATTGACTATTTGGTTCCTTTCTCAGTTTACTTTTGTCAGTAAAAAAAGAATTGCTGTAATATGTTAGAATTTTGAGAGATTAAAGTAGAGCTGCAGTTCAAGAGATCTATTTTTCTAATGTTGTTATGTTGGCCGACACAAATTTAATCATGTTAGTGATCAAGTCAAAAGCATTGAAAGTTCCAGCCATCGCTCCGTAATTGATGCTATTCTATTTGAAATTCAGTAGATTTTCATCTTTTTAAACAGCCAATAATGTTATTTCTTGACATCAACGAACTAATATTCAATCTACACGTTAATTCGTTTAACATAATATTTAGAAATTTATTCCTTTAAAAATAATCCCTTTTTTTCAATGGAACAACGATTATCCATTCACATTTTTCTCATTTGATTAATCCTACTCTACATATTGTATTGTATGTTTGAATCTTCTCATTGACATTTAGGACTGCAATTGATCAGTCTCTTATTGGCATCTGTGCATTCTGTGCGAATTGCCTCTCTACATAAGTTAAAATATTTTCTGTGATAATGTTTCTCACAAAAAATTGTATTATTCCTATTTCCCTTCCTTTTTCTATCGCAGTAAAATTACATTCCATACTTTCTCTGTTTTGTTTATAACTACTTCTAAGTATATTTTACTTTTGTTTTGTTTGTAGTGTTTGCCTTAAAAGTTATTCTCGTATGGTTAGCTGAAAGTTGCTGTAGTTGTCTTCTTCCTTTATGTTTTCTTTTCTTCTCAGCTCAGATATGTGACTCATTATTGCGTGATAAAATAGAATTCAAAATTGTTGATAGATTGAGAGAAAGAGAAGAAGAGGGATAAAACCTAACTGAATCAATGTTTGTGATGACTAAATGAAAAAATTAAAACACACGGCTATAACAGCAGCATTGTAGTAAAGGAGAACACACAAGTGGGGACAACCGAATGTATTTGAATGCAAAATTACAGAACGTCTTAGTAACATCTGTGAACCATACAGCAAATACTTCATTAGCAAAGTGTCAATCAATTGTCTCAGACTTGGTCATTTCTTCTTTCCCATAATAATAATAATTCTCGTTCTCTTCTCTTTCATCATCTTAATATTCTGCCGCCAGGCATTTCACTTTCAATTAGTGATACATACTACTTATATCTGTCGACATCAATAGCACACACTATAGTATCATTATTTTGTACAGGGCAGTAATCATTTCTTTCCACACTGTTTATATATATATATATATATATATATATATATATATATATATATGACTGTACATGTTTCTGTTCATTAGTATATATATCTTGTAAGAGTCTCTAATAACCCAAAAACTCCTAGGAGCGTTTCATTCAATCAGCTATCAGAGAGACATCTAAAAAAATGAAAGATTGCATGTCACATTTTGGTTAGATAATTACCTACATCGTTATTATGTTTCATATGTTTTCGTAAGAATAAAACCATTTTAAACTCTGAATGCACTCGATTTTCCACATATAATTAGCTTTACATTTCTTGCCTTTTCTGTACTTTTATCTGGAATGTAGATGTAACCAGTGGTTATAAGTAGTGGCTAGGAAGCCACCAATAATCGTTCCATTAACAGACGTATCATTTTTTAATATGACTTTTATAGATTGTCACGTCCATCATTCAGTTCATCCTCTGTATACTACTATTGTATAGTTATTTCAATTTGTTAATCTAAAAAAAGCTAGCTGTACATAGCATTATTGACAGTACACTGAAGTTACTTACCTTCTTTTAAAAAAAGACTGTACCTTTTTTAAAATTTCAATCGAAGTTCACTTGTATGGGTGGTCCGCTAATGTCGTTGTTTTCTTTAAAGTTTTATTTTGGTGGCATTTTAGTCAGTGAACTATTTTTTTTGAAGACAGGGTGTGCGTGTGTGATGGTGAAAGTGAGTAGAAGACATAGTAATATATATGTTTATTGTTTAGTCTGGTGATTATCATCTAAGCTATGTTTGTACGGATATATGATCACTTGTCGCCGTTCTTATTTTTATCAATAATAACCTAGTTTTGTGCTTAGAGAAATCTACTAGTATTTTAAATTAAGCTAATCTAACTGATCAATACATCTGCTCTGTTTTAGTCATTCATAAAGTATCACTAACCTATACACAATAAGGTGTATCTCAACGACAACCATTCAGTCATAAAATCAGATTACTTATGTACTTCAGTTTATTTGTTCTCACTACTGTCTATAAATGATCATACAGTTATTCATTGACCTTTTATTTTCATTGGTCACCTCCTCCAGTTAATGACAATCTGTGTTGAAAATCAACTGGAACTCAAAGTTATCACTACAAACTTTACGTCCAAGTTTTTCTTTTGTAATGAAGTTCTTTGGTCAATGTTAAGCACTACACTAATCAACGATTGATTGGTGTAAATATGTCGGTTCAACAACAGGTTATTTGTTGTAGCCTTAATAACTCAGTAACTATACTGCTAACTGTGGCACACTGTCTGATTAAAGTTAGGATCGTTAGTAAACGAAACTAACCCTTGGCCCCCATAAGATGGCAAATACACATATTCTTGTTAATCACCACAAACATAAAACCCTGGCGCATAATAAATAGTCTCTAATAATGTCATATTAAACGAATTGCTTTTAACCATAATCATAAGATTAAACTAATTTCATGAATTTGATGTGGAATCTTCTCACAGAGTGACTTTATTTTCAGAATTATAACTTAGTATTAAAATAGTTATTTGAGATAACTTCATCTTTTTTTGACCTTTACAACTTGCTTGTTTGTCTTGTCTACTTCACAATTTGAAAATTATAGTTCCATTGGTAGTTGATGCATCAATTTGAAAAATATTCCATCATTTTCACTACTATTTATTTCTTATTTCTATTTAGAAATATTCTTCTAAGTGAATTTTATAAAGAAGATATTTCTGACCTTCATGAAAAATTTATTTTTACTGTAAAAAGAACATTTCAATTATTTTTATGTGGATGGTAGCTGGTAATGGGATCCATAATGTAAGTTTCGTTCTACTTGGAAGTCATAAGTTAAACACCTGCATCGCAGAACTGATGCTCACAACCTGACTCGAACTCACTGACTCTCCTTTTGTACTTTCAACAGGTTATTCACTAAGCTACTGAATCCAAACAGCCACTCAGTTGTCTGGTGGATATGATATCTCTGATACTGGGTGAACTTCAACACTGGGATGCACATACATCCAGCTGATGAGTCCCAAACTAGATGAAGTATGCCTCTTAGATTCCATCTCTAGATCCAATGCATCTATTGATTAAGAGTATTCCTGTCATGTTTTTAAAGTTTACTTTGCGCTTCAGTGACATATTTTAATGCTGTAATAAATTATTTATTTGTGTTTTGATAGATACCGTACATCCTTCATCGGTCAATCAAGGTCATTGTAAACGACCTAGAATGTTATGGGCTGGTTACTTTTGTGTACCAGACTTATCATCTATTCCAAATAATTTCTCTACACTTGGAAAATCTGAAACAATAATGAGTTCTAATATTTTTATCACTGCTGGACCAGATGCTACTCCAGACTTGGATTCAATTATACCTAATGTAAATTGTTTCTACTATTGTTTATTATTAATAATTTTGTCCGTCTACTCACTTTTTTGTGTATCATTAAGTTCCTTTCACTTACATATCCAGTCCTTAAAAATTCAAACAGGATAGATTTCAATAGATCAATCAACTGACTAACTTAATAAGATGATATAATTAAGAAATTCATGATATTTTTGAACTATAGATAACTTTTCAGACTAATCAGTGATGACAATCCTAATTACATAATAAGTAATTGCTTTGCATTGTTGTCTTTCCTACCACTGATGCACCGTCATACTCTTCAAATACCAACTACCACTGAAAACCAGAGGTTATTCGACCATTAAATTCCAAATCAGTCGTCTAGGGGTGATTATTATTATTATTATTATTATTATTATTATTATTATTATTATTATTATTATTATTTATTTTAACACATAGATATTGGTACAGGGAGGCACCAAATACATATACACCACATAAATCTCACTCGGTATGTGTGAGGGCTGTGATACTGCCTGGGTGCCCACACCGAAGCAGGTGGTTTTCTTGGGGGGCCACTCCCCGAGCCTTCGACCTGAAGGTCTGATCCACAAGGCAGTGGATCATCATAAGGAGATGCAGTCCCATGGAAGCCGGTGACCAACGACTGGTTCATACCCCATTTGTTCCCGCAGGATACTGGAGCCCATGTGCACCATTGGTTTGGAATCCGGTTAAAGCGCCCGACATTCGCTTTTCGTCCTCTTATTTTCGTAAACAACACCCCCGCCACGAGAAGGTAGTGAGTAGGACTTCCTTGTCAGAGGCTGTATACGCGTGGCCATGTGAGAGCATTTCGAGAGGGAGAGTAGACTCTCCCCACTCTCAGCCGTACCAGGGCATTTGGGGGTGATACAGTTATCACAAGACCTAAAGGTTGTGGATGAAGTATTTTAAGATGTCTGAAATTAAGATAAAACATTTATTAAATGATCCCTGATTTCCAACAGTTCTCCAGTTGAAGTCAATTTGCTTGTTAAATCATAAAGGTATTATTAGCCTGTAAACTGTGGAAAAATACAATGTTACTACAACTTTCCGATTCAGTCAGCTGTTTCGTTGTCATTCTTATTGCAATGTCGTTACAATCTGTGTATGTTTTAAAGTATATTATGTCAATCAACCAGTATGTTTGTTTATCTAAATCGGGGTGGTCAATATGATATTGTTCTCATACCAAACTTTTTGAATTTACTTTCAAAAAATATATATAATTGTTAGAATTGATATGGGGTTTTAATGTTGAAGAACTATGGAAATCTAGTGAACACGGATTAGTTGTTTTCTTTTAAGCCATATTCTGGAATTCCCCACCAGTTAACACCTACACTAACGCCATGAATTGAAATTAAATCCTTGATTTCTCCTGGTGAGTGTATTACATTTTAACAACTGATTTAAAATCCACTAAGCCACATTTCGTTTTCCGTAATAATTGTCATCCTGGTAAAAAAACATTGTATGGTAGCACTCTGCTCATCATAGCTTACCCTACAATTATACATAGTTTAATCATATATGATCATATATGACTGAATTACAGTAGTATGTTTTTCAATGTATGTACTATTTATGATGGATTTTTATTTCAGTGTTGATTTTTATGTATTTAGCAAATCAGTCTAGAATGTTGCGTAATAACTATTCTGTGTTAAGATTGATTTAAGTTGGCATGTAATGATTTATAATATTGTTTCTTAGTCAGCTAGTATACCGTATAAAGAGTGTAGAATAAATATGTCTCAATTGTAAATTGTCATTATAAACTACTTACTCGTTAGTGAAAACAAGTTATGTTTTTTCGTCTTTTATTCCATATGCTTGTTTTTTTGTTACTTTCACATCGGTTTTTTTGTTCAGAGAAATAAAAGAAAGAAAATGTTCTTGCTTATCCCTTTCTCTTTTTTTTTCCAGAAAGTAATAAAATGTAGGAACCTAACTTTAGGGGGGGGAATAATTATGTTTGGGTAAATTTCATTTTAAATATTGAATATTACCCGGGTTGGGAGAATAATATTGAATTAAATCAGTAATTCTATGTAGATTTTGTGAACACTTTTTATATGAGGTGTTTTTCAGTCGACGTACATCATAAACTAACGTTAACTGGTAGGTAAAGCAAGTGAGAGAGAAAGAGAAGAAAACAGTTGAAAGAATACGACTGTTTTGTCGTAATTACAAATCATTTGTTAGCAATCTTTACATTCATGAAATTAAACCTTGGTTTTCAATAATTTTATGCTAAATTGACGCTAACTTATCGAGATAAGTACTTCGCAAATGGTCAAATTTGTTTTTAGTAACTTCTGGTGACGTTAAATTTGAATCGATTGCCTTTAACATCATGGTTTATTGAATAGAACAGTTGGCTTGCAACAATAATATGTCACAAGTTTGAATCCTGTTTCAATTATTTGGATTTGATCAGTCAATTAGTTATTACTAGTTTACATTCAAACGGTATAACTCAAAGCTAAGTACATAAATTCACACTCAGTACATATTCTAAGATACCAAAAATAGTATTTACCTTAAATTGTTTAGATCTTTGTGACGGTATAGATTTGTCGTGGTGCCACTGTCACCTCCCGCCTTCTCTCATTCGACCATACCATAAATAGACGCAACTGTACCTAGTTTGGTTGGAATGAAAAATTGTCCTACTTCCTTGAATAATGACAAGAGGAAATCATTAAACGACAGATGTATGTGACCTTGACAGGCGGTGTGTCTGTATTCGATGACATTCTAGTAAATGAATTTTAAAAAAATCAATGAATCATTTATGCGTCATTGAAGAGTATTAGTCTGCTTACCTTTTTCTCTTATTGAATTTCTTTTTTCCAATATTTCGTATAGTAGTGATATTGTTGCTGTTGTCAAAATCCTACTAAATCAGTTTGACATTCTGACGATAATCAAGCAGATTGTTGTTGTTTCAATTTAGGTAGATAAGTAGGTTAGTATAAACGACAGAAATATACATAAAACACAATATCCTGACTCGATTCTTGCTTGAAAATTCCCAATTGATTTCATTTGTTTAAATTAACTGATAATGAAATTTTATTTAAATAAAGTTATGATCGTATTAGAATTTCAACTAAACAAATTACAACATTCAAATAATAAAAAAATTGTCTTGTAAATAAATAAGCGCGTATACTCATTCTACTATTGTCGAGTGAACTCTAATAAAAGAAACTGGATTGTAGAACATTATTGTAAACACTTTCGATTTCCAGACAACAGTGGGTCATATATTCAATTTATATTGAGAATTTGATGGTTGTTTGTTACGATTCAGTGGTTCTAGTGCATGTGTTTAGGTTCAAGTCATGATTTTCTTCATTAAATTATCTATGGACAAATCTCATGTACAAAGTTTCATCCTGATAATGTATTTTCACGTGATGACCGAAATCAATAACTCCTAAAAGAATTGTTACACTTTAAGTTTAAGACTCACCACTTCTCCTGCCATCGAATTAGTAAGCTGAAAATCTTAACATCCAATTTTCCCAAAGGATAATCTAGGAGGTAATATGTATCTTTTTATCTGTGAATTTATATTCATTGAGATTGAAAAAATATTCCCTGAAAGGGAACTGTAAAGTCAACCAATTCCAGAGTTAAATTTTCAGTTTTCAACGGTATTGAGTAAAAATGTGCTGTATAAGCCCTTGAATTAAAGGCATAATATCTATCATCAAGACTGAGGGTTTCGGTCTCTATACCGTATACGTGTCTCACGGACATAGATTCGGGTGTAAAATGAAACAGTTTTCGATCTTCGATGATTTCCTATGGTTGTTTAGATGACATCATTATGGGATAGCAATTACATTCAAACTGTATGAAGTTTTTTATATAACTGTGTATAACAGTACAAAATATACACATCATTTCATAAGGTAGATATATGTTTTCGGTAATATTGAGCCATAAATTTTGTACATAGTTCCGTTAACAATTTTTTTGTATTTCACATACTTAAGCAGTCTATGCATTCTGCTTTTGTATAGAAGTTCAATTAATAGTTTATTTATTAATCTAAGACAAGTGTTTTCAGTATTTTACAGACTGTCTAGCCTTTACATTAAACACTAAAAGCAATTACATAATAGTAATAATGATTAACCTTGAACTATTTATGCTTTTTCATGCAGATTAAGGTAGAAACTTTTCTTGTTACTGAGTCGTCTGATCTAGTTTGGTATGTTTCTCATGTTATTAGGTTAAGAAATAAATAAATGAACAAATCAATATCTGTTAATTAGTGAAATATTTTATTTATATACTTCAACACAATTAGTATTAGTATATGTATGTATCATGCATAAATTAAGGTATATGCATCGTCATATGAAATAATATAAATTTTGTAGTGTTTATAATATGTTTATGATATAACGGTTATTGATGTATGCGCTTGAACTCTTACCAACAACTCTGTATTTATATAAGCAATGAAGGGTGGTGGCTAGCAGTGGAATCCAGGACGCGCGTTTCGTCCTATTTGGGACTCGTCAGCAGGATGTACTGGCATCCCAGAGTTGATGTTCACTCTAGGACTCGAACCCAGTACCATTCGCTTCAAACGCGTTATTCACTCAGCTACGCAGTCCTGATAGCCAGTTGCTTGTGCAATGGGGTGAAGTTTAATTCACTTGGTATTGTTTGGCTTGTATCTTCCCATTGAGGTTTAAGACTGCAATTGATCAGTCTGTTATTGGCATATGTGCATACGAGTCTCAAATAGGACGAAACGCACGTCCTGGATTCCACTGCTAGCCACTATTTATCATTACTTACAAAAAAGCTTGTGAATTAAGGCAATATCGAGGCAAACATTCTTGTGAGTAGCATCCACAACCGTATTATTACTATTCTTCTTCTTCTTCTTCAATAAACGATTAATTTTTCGTATAATTTTAATTTGAAGGGAGTTCAAATTGAAGAAA